TCAAATGTAGAAATCTCTTATCTGCTAAATTTTTCTCTAATTTGTTGAATGAAACTATTGATTGTCATTTTCATTTGGGCAGGATCTCCCTACGAGTACTCATCATGGTGGTAACATTTCTTATTCACCTGTTCCGCGAACAAAGTTATTGTTATTTTTACCACTTTATGTTATGAGTATGTTTGTGAGGATGTTAGTGAACTTGCTGACTTCAGTTCCACCAAAAACAATCTTCGACGGTGTTTTTCAATTTTACTGTTAAATGCAGTGTCAAGTGATACACCACTAACTTCAAGATAGCGCAAGTATAGTGCTGATTCCTTGACCAATTTATTCTTTAAAGTGTAAACATTAAAAAAAAGGTGATGTTCATTTATTTCGATACTTTTTTTCAATGTTTGTCAGGATTTAGCAAACACTGTGTGACGTAGGGGTCTGTGGTGCCTTGTTTGACGAACCGCTCATAGGTGACAGTGTCACCTTTTCGCAAACGTTTTATTTACTTGCTTCGTTCTTGCGAGACTAATTAGTACGTCAAAAGTATTGAAAAAAACAATGTGTTTCATGGAAACTTTAATCAATGAATAATTTAATCATTCTTCTACTTGATCTGCATGGGAGGTAAAATTCATTTCATCATATTGTGCGCAATATAATGAAGTTAAACGATTTTTAATGAGATCCTGTTGCCGTCATTTATGGGCTAAATTAAATCGGTGCTGTCAACGACAGCCTTTTAGTTGCGCAACATGTTTTATCGGAATTTTACAAGCTGGTCCAGCAGGGCACGTTTAATACATTTGAATAGGTGTCAGTCTCAGTGGTAGATTCACTAGCGGATCCAGAAAAAAGTTTTAGGGTGAGAGGGGCAACAGTCACTGTCAGCAGAAGTAAATATCAGTATTTTTGTAGCGATTGAAAATCTAACAGGTGTGAAACCAGTAAGGTTTGGAGCCGTTGAACGTGGCAGGTGGGCTTTTCCACCAAAGCGCTTCCTTGGGTATGCTTACAGTCTGTCTTCAACCAAAAAAGTTAATGATATGAAACCTTGTAATTATAGATATTGAATGCATCTTTCAACAAAATGTTATCTTCAAAACTTGAATCACCATAGGAAAAATCAGACCCCTTTGTTTATTTTCCATAGCATTTTGGACTTTTTCAGCATCCCCATCTTTTGCTACTGCAAGTGAATGACTTTCTTTTATAATTATGTCTTTGAAATGATCGGCTTCTTCAAAACCATAAAAAAATGTTATTAGCATAATTCATAACCCCTTGAATCTTTGTTCCATGTTTAGGAATATCTGTGAGCTTCAGAAATCACACTAGATGTTTGTGACATACCTCTATAGTAGCTTCATCGTACACAATTCTATTAGACTCTTGTGGATTGCTTCTTGCTTTGGTAATGCGAGCATGTCCCGAGTACCTGTGATGCACTTTGCTCTTATCAGCACTGCCCTCACTTCCGTTGGAACCTCCGCAAAGATGCCCTAAAGCTACTCCTGTAAGGACACAATTATGTTAAATTTTGATTTAATGTGGATTTATTTATTTATGAATCCTAATAAATAAGAGCACTCCATCAGTTTCTAGGCACGTATGAGAGAACTGTTTTATATTTGATATATTCAAACCTTATTTACTCCTCAAAACAAATATGAGCACTCTATTACACCTTTTGTTCGCTTGTGGCTGCCTGTCCAGGCATTTATAAGCCGCTGACCAATAGGAGAGCGAAAATTTGAATATCGCGCGCTGGTGTTATGACAGAGCGTAAATGGCATAAGAATATACTTTAGGTTTATAAGTAGTCGTGGCAAATTAATAATTTTAGAATGACTTCACTAACCGCCTTGAGAACCTGAAAAGTGAATGGATCAAATCAATCAAACAGGCCCATGTGATTAGTCCATAGTCGTTCTTTCCCTGCCCTACCGGTAGTTACGGTACATCGTCACATGCGGCAGCACTCATCAAAATCCACCACCCAACTTTCCACTCGTAAGAATGTTTTTAAAAATGATCACAATCCTCTCAAACCTTAAAAAACGTGACAGTAGAGTAAAAAGCCAAAAAGGTCAAAAAACAAAGTTTGAGCGGTATTTATTTATCTATATTTAATTTTTTTCATTTTTGGCTGTTTCCACGGTCACTGGACTGATTTTCTAAAACTACACAGCTTTTCCGTCCTTGGCATAGAAGTATCATTATGTGAGAATTCCATCAAAATCCGACCGGTACTTTCCATGTTATAGACGGGTCAATGATCAGTGGACAGACAGGAAGACGGCCCGAAATGAGTTACATGGTTTTTTGTGGTGTACATGTCATATAACTTCTAAAAAATAATATCTCATTTTCTAATTTCTTCGCGATTACAATACTTCCTCGCCCAGTGTCGTAGCATGTAAACAGTTAGTGAAGTACTGTCAGGTTTAAACTTCGGAATCCGGTTCCAGTGAAAAGATTTTTGATTTGTCTGGTGGAATTGATACAAAATAACTACAATATATTGGGAACCTATTAATTTTATGCGCTTTTTGATTTTCACTTGTTTTTGATTTTGCCTTCATGATTTATATTTTTATTTTTTCTTAGGTATACATCAAAATATTATATTTATTCTTTTAAAAGTTTTGAAGTATATATTTTTTACCTGGTTTGTAAGACTGATCCCCTCCTTCAGGTCGTCCCAGTTCGTGCAGATTCGGCAAACTACCCATTTTCTAAATGTGTTCGCTCGCAAACCATCACTTACTCAGCGTATTTTGAATTTCAACAACGTCTTCTGTGTTCATTTACCTTTTATTGTTGGAATTCGTGCCGCTTCTCTGGTTTAAGCATTTCATTCTGTAACAAAATGTATCGATCGCATAACATTACAATAATTCGAGTTTCAGTTGTTCATTAAGATTTGTATTCAGCATTTTAAGTTGATACACTTAAATTCCTTATTTCTATACCAGAGCAGCCGCGCAGGCAGCTGCATAAATACCAAGCCACCGCGGCTGCTGTCAGGTACTTAAAGAAACTTTGTTAATCCGATTATTATATTATATATTGTTCTGGAATCTCGATACCCTAGGGAACAAAGAGTGGTCGTATCGGCCAGTTATGGATGTTAGAAGTCCAACACGGTAAGGATGTAAGGCCGAAGTCAGACGGGCCTGACAGGCAAGCGCATCACGCGGCAACATCATGGAGGAGAGCTCTGAGGAACAAAGTCTGTTGACATAGCGGTAAAAGAGAGCTAGAGTGCAAAGAGGTCTTGAGATTGTCTGAATAGCATCGAGCATGGATAATGTAATCGGGCCGCCAGCACTCCAAACATGTGAGCAGTACACGAGACTAGCTTTTATCTAGATTCCTCTCTATAACACAAGCTAGCATTCCTCAGCTACTCCTCGAATGGGAATGACATTAGATTGAATTGGGGAACGTGAAACTTCATGTCAAAGCTGAATGGGTGATGTATGTTTTATCACGAAGGTTATTAGATTGATTGGATTGCAGATTGCAGGAGGACATGAACAAGTCAAATGTCATTCTGTTAAGATATTTCAGGTTTATTCACGCTATAATCCGGACACAGATCTATTTGAGATTTGCCATGACCATCCTGCTGCTACTTTAGAGAATATATTGTTCTAAAAGCTGCACCAAAATGGAGCTTGTATATTAACCTGTCAATTACATAACAACAAATGGTGAGCGTCCAAAAGCTGTTGCAAAAGGTGACCAGCAATAGCAAAAGATACGAAATAATGAATCCTTGAAACTAGCTGAATTGCTTATATACCTAATACTAACAGATTCACTGACTCTAAAGCTATCCAAAAGTAATATTTTGAGTTTTGTAAAGTGATCAGTAACTAAAGCACATTTTTGGGCGGAGACATATACAACTTTTTAGTGATTCGACTGTATGTCATAGTTTTGTCTTCTTAAAGATCTTTTTTGTCACTTATGTTGACCAGTAGTATATGTTTTTTTTTCGTATATCTTAAATTGCTCAAAGGGACATTTTCCAGATGTCACTTCTAATCCATGAGTTTTCGTAAGCTTTTTAGTGACATTGGTACTGAGAAGTACTTATTCTGCCAGTATCTTGGCAAGATTTACAACTCATAAAAGCAAGCCTCAGATGCTGCTGAAATGCGAGCGATACCTAAAATGACGAAAAAAGTGGCGTCAGGAAGGTCGACCCTGTACATTCAACACATTGATGTCATCAGCTCTTGAAGCATTATGTTCTGCACAAGCTAACGCCCCTGAGAAAAAAGTTAACTGCAAACGTGAACAACGGCACCATGGCTACCACCACTGGTGACGAAACAGACACCCATCGGTAGGACCGCGACGCAAGTACAAATTAATATATCTAGAGATGCGTGTGTTAAAAATATTTTTTTATCATACCTAAGGGCAAATGTTCAAGGAAATCTATGATGTGTGAAATGTGCCTAATATGAGTGTAGAATTACCAAAGTTGGAATCGTATAAATATACTAATGCCAAAAAATTGAGATATAAGGGAGACTCGGGCAAAAAGAACCATAAGGGCAAAAGGAATCAGTTAAAAAAAATTAATTTCAAAATTCCCGCCACTATCTTCTATTTACTTCTAGCAGATACTGTAGTTCTCCAGTGTTTGTTTTGATACCCATCCCGGTAAGCTAATTTTTCATGTTTTTACCGCCAATTTAGAAAATGTAACCGTCTTGATCATGGTTTAAATAGATGGAAATTATTTTAGTATTGTTATAAGTTGAAGCATTGAATTTTGTGGCGATGAATAACGTTTTGTGTAGATTCTAACCTCACATTAATTGTGGCGCTGTTCAAGGGTTTGACATTTATAAATAATATTTTAATGTGTTGCATACCTTCTGGGCAAGAAGAACCAGGCAAAAATAACCGGCTCTATTTGCCCGGCTTCTTTTGCCCGCTATTTCGTTAGATATATTTTTTTTAAAAATTGAATATTGTTTCAGAATAATGGTTTTCAAGTATAAACGAAAAACAGAAAGAGCCCAAGGATGGGACGAAAATATAATGAATCGCGCAATAAATTCAATTAACCAAAGAGAAACATCTATTCGCGGTGCTGCATTAAAGCATCCTCCAAAAAAAAACTCGGACGGTTTAGTTTAGTTTTTTCTGGCGATATGGAACAGCAACTTGTACAACATATTCAAGAAATGGACGCCCGTTTTTATGATTTTTTGATGTGGACAATATATTCAACGTGGACGAGACCGGCATTCAAACATCTGCAAAGAGGCCACCAAAAGTTATTTCTTTTAAGGGAAAAAAACAAGTGGGCTCAATTGCATCCACCGAGAGGGGGCAGCTGGTAACCGGCGTATGTTGCTGTTCTGCTTCTGGAAAATTTATCCCTCCAGCCCTCATATTTCCTCGGAAGAAGAGAAATCCATGATTTTTGAATGGCATACCCCCTGGAACTGAAGATTTTATAAGCGACAATGGTTGGATAAATAATGAGATCTTCTTAGAATGGATGAAATTTTTTATAAAATCTGTTAGACCATCTTCAGCACATAAATGTTTACTCATATTAGATAATCATATTTCACACCCTCCTCTTTGCATGTGTTGGAATATGCTTCTGAAAACAACGTAGTAATCCTTTCTGTTCCTCCACATACCACGTATAAATTACAGCCGCTTGATGTTGCGGTATATGGACCCATCGGGAAACATTTTGAAAGAGAGGTTGATAAATGGCAAAAGCAACATCATGTACAACATATTACTTTATACGAATTAGGTGCATTATTTGGATCTGCTTATTTACAAGGCGGTACTCCTCAAAATGCAATAAATGGATTAAAAAAACAGGAATATTAGATGGCAATATTTATGTTTTTAGTGACCTGGATTTTGCTCCTTCTTAAGTAACAAACAAGGAATATGATGCCATCGAAACTCAAAACCTTGCCGCTAGTAATGGCCAATCTGCATCTCCAAGTTCACCTATTGCGTCGTGTTCGAGCCATGAAGAAACACAGCGTGACGTCGAACATCACACACCTCCTCACTCCCATATAGCCCTCTGTTCTCTTGAAAATGAGAATCATGTGAATGAGAATCGTTTTTCTCCTGCTCCATCATGCTCCTACCAATCCGCTTACGAAAATTCAAATTACTTTACACCATTAACTGCAATTAAGCCTTTCCCAAAAGTTAAATAGAATGATCCCAAAAGAAAACGCAGAACACAGAAGACGGAAATTTTCCATTAAAGAAGAATTAAGAAATCAGAAAAATAAAAAATTACCCAAGATCAAATTTTCAGATGAAATGAAACGTACAAAGAAACCTAGAAGTTCAAAGTTGGACCAAACTGAATTGCAGTACCCAAAGCCACCGGTACATAGAACGGGTCCCAATGAAGAAAATGTACCATGCATCGTCTGCGGAGATATTTTTGGCAACTCTAATGCGGGCCATTCACTAGACGGACCTGAACTCGGACGGCAACCGGGACCCGACTGACGACTCATCCACGTTTGTCAATACATTAGACGGAAATTACACGAACCCTGCAAAAGAGCTCATTTGTACACTGAATGTGGCGAACACAATAGCATTATGTCTCCGATATTATCAAAAAAGGCGAAAGTTGCTTTGGCTGTAGGTACAATCATATTATTAGAATCAGAAAAAAAGAAAAAACGTGTTTGGGTGAAAGAATGGCTGCAAAAGAGAGAACAATTTACTCATTTGCGATTATTGAAATGTATCCAATCATGTGAACCACTTGATGTTATAAATTACCTCAGAATGGACTATGACGCATTCCAAGAATTATTAATGCTAGTAAAACCTCTGATAGAAAAGAAGAACACTTTATTCAGAGAAGCAGTAAGCGTTGAAGAACGTCTGTTGGCCACCTTGAGGTTTCTGGCAACTGGAAGCAGTTATGAAGACTTAAAGTTTTCTTGTATAATTTCTCCTCAGTTACTTGGAAGAATAATTCCAGAAACGTCTCGTGCTATATACAACTGCCTCCGGAAGAAATACTTATGTGTAAGTACAATAATTATTTTTTTCATGTATTCTGATGCATATAAGAAACAGAGTGTTGAAAAAACTTTTATTATTTCAAATTATGTCTAACAATTAAAGATATGTGAATCAGTCTGTAATACTCGTAGTACCTTATCACTTCTTAATTATTTTGCCTGGGAAAAACTAAAAATTCTTCCATCACTTCCCTATTTGCAGACGCCTGATTTGGAGTTGTCAAAGTGGTAAAAGTTGGTACATCTGGTTGACGTGTATATGACGTGCTGGGTTCATTAAAGGTTGAGTTAATGGATGTTGTATACCTGGAGCATGAGTTTTGAAATATTTGTGCTTGCGGAACGCATGGGGCACTTTGATATGATGGTGGTTGGTAACCCAGGGAAATATGAGAAGAACGTGTGAGATTTCCTAATTTTGCATGGTATAGCACATCCAAAATCAGTTTTTGGGCTATTATCTTCTGTCCAACTGCAATATCCTGTAATTGTTGACCAGTATTTTTGCCAAATGTTATTTCTTGTGGTTCAAGAACATCCTGTTGCGGAGTTTCCAATACTTTTATGGAAGCATCCAAAAATTTATTTTTCTTCTGTGTCCAAGTTGGGCAGTTGAGAGTTCGCTTGTTACGGGAACTTGGTGTTGCACTTTGAGGAGCTTCAGGCGATAAAACTGATGATGAATCTAAATCTTGATCAGAATGTTGTGTGTATGCATCGGTTTCCTGCAATAAAATAGCTCACAGTTAACTTTGCCTCATATGATAGCTGTGTTATTTTTGGTTCCAGTTTCCCATCAAAAGAAGAGGAATGGCTCAAAGTAGCAGAAGGATTTAACAATATGTGGCAATTTGAAAATTGCTTAGGAGCCGTAGACGGCAAACACATAGCTATCAAACAGCCCCCAGGAAGTGGTTCATACTATTATAACTATAAAGGATTTTTCAGTGTTGTGTTGTTTGCTATCGTAAATGCTAATTATGAATTTACTTATGTAAGTTGTGGAACTAATGGAATATCAGACGGGTCATTAAGAAAACAGATTTTTACAATTTACTGATAACAGATTCTTTAAAATTAACCCAACCAGTCAATATGCGAGGAATTCAAAATAAATTACCCTTTGTGTTTATTGGGGACGAAGCCTTTAGTCTAATGACAAATTTCATGACGCCATACAGACAAACCAACAATATTGGTTATGAAGAAAAATGTTTCAACTATCGACTTTGCCGTGCCAGGCGCGTAGTAGAAAACGCATTCGGGACATGGCAAATAGATTCAGGATTTTCCTAACGCCAATAGCTACTAAAGTGGATACAGTTGATGATATCGTTATGGCATGCTGTGTTTTACACAACTTTTTACGCCGCAAAAGCACTTCTTACATACAACCTAGTAACATCGATACTGAAGACATTATCTCAGGGACTGTATTGGTACTTGATATGCACATGAATGGAGAACTAATATCATTAGATGTGTCCAGGCAAGGATCTCCGACTATTGACGCAAAGATGATATGAAATGGATATAAAGAATAATGCAGGTGAAGTTGACTTTCAACACAAATTTGTATATTAAGTTTAAGATGTATAGTATATGTGTTGAAATAAAATATCTGAATTATTATAAATATTGTCTTTTAGGATTATTTGTTAGTTAAAATATCTACTTACTGAGGCCTGTGATTGGTCATCTAGGTTATTTCCTTCTATCGAAGAAACCGCTGCACGAGACTCTTCTTGATCCATCAGGAAAGACAATAGATCAAAATACCACAATGTAGGTTCTGGTACATCTTCTGTTCCCACCCCACTTCTCTTTGAACTATTAATTCGCCTTATCTGGCGTCGGAAAGATGACCGTAAGGACGATATTTTTTTGATAACAAATTTCTTGTTGGCATCTGGAAACATTTCTTTGCTTTTGTTAATTAAATTCTCATACGCAGCATTTTTTTTCAGTTTGTTGCGGTAATCCTTACACTTGATGTCCCAAAGACAAGGATTTTCCTGGTAAAGTTGGAAAAATTCCTCCCAAAAAGATTTATTATCTTCAAAAGACATTTTAATTTGAATTCCCTTCAAAAAATGCCTTGATACTTTCGTTGATCTCGGAAGAACTCTTTCGTCGCCGGACAAGTCTTGACAAGTTACACACACATTGTAAAAACAGCACGGATTGGTCGCGGTCGGGTCGTAGGTTCGGTATTCAAACAAGCGAACTCACAACCCGACCCGGACCGCTGTGCGACATGTCTTTCGATACCATATATTGGCGGATCGGTCGGCGGACAAGTCAGGACGAACCAATCCGTCACACCAATCCACTAATGAATGTCAAGACTTGTCCGGCGACGAAAGAGTTCTTCCGAGATAAACGAAAGTATCAAGGCATTTTTTGAAGGGAATTCAAATTAAAATGTCTTTTGAAGATAATAAATCTTTCTGGGAGGAATTTATCCAACTTTACCAGGAAAATCCTTGTCTTTGGGACATCAAGTGTAAGGATTACCGCAACAAACAGAAAAAAAATGCTGCGTATGAGAATTTAATTAACAAAAGCAAAGAAATGTTTCCAGATGCCAACAAGAAATTTGTTATAAAAAAATATCGTCCTTACGGTCATCTTTCCGACGCCAGATAAGGCGAATTAATAGTTCAAAGAGAAGTGGGGTAGGAACAGAAGATGTACCAGAACCTACATTGTGGTATTTTGATCTATTGTCTTTCCTGATGGATCAAGAAGAGTCTCGTGCAGCGGTTTCTTCGATAGAAGGAAATAACCTAGATGACCAATCACAGGCCTCAGTAAGTAGATATTTTAACTAACAAATAATCTAAAAAGACAATATTTATAATAATTCAGATATTTTATTTCAACACATATACTATACATCTTAAACTTAATATACAAATTTGTGTTGAAAGTCAACTTCACCTGCATTATTATAATATTCTTTATATAAATTTCGTATCATCTTTGCGTCAATAGTCGGAGATCCCTGTCTGGACACATCTAATGATATTAGTTCTCCATTCATGTGCATATCACCTATCAATACAGTCCCTGAGATAATGTCTTCAGTATCGATGTTACTAG